TGAGTCATATTTATGACGTTTGCAGTGTCCTGGGGTCATGTGATCACCTTTTGTTATCTTCTGACAAGCAAAGTCAATGAAGAAACCAGATTCATTTAACAATGTGTTACTACCTTAACAACTGCAATGATTCACTTAACAACTATGGCAAGAGAAATTGGGCAAAATTCACTTAACCGCTATCTCATTTAGCAACAGAAATTTTTGGACTCAGTTGTGGTTGTAGGTTGATGACTTCCTGTAAAGTATTTTAAACTTCACAAAGTAATTTGGCTTGAAATTCACATCCCTAATGTGATGATAACAGTTGGACTATTATCAAACCTGGCATAGATTTGATACAGATTAGGGGTATACTGAATCTAACCTAACTTTCCCCCCCCCCCTTGTCTGTATTTCCCTCCCTTTGAATTGTGAGCCGCCCTGAGTCCCTCCGGGAATAGGGTGGCATATAAATGCAATAAGTTCAATTCAATTCATAATGTATTATTCCCCGCTTTGATGTTCAGAAGATACTGTATAACCATAGAGATTATGGTTTTCCTTTCCATGGTCAAATTTCACAGATCTCAGTAGGCTGCACAGTGGATCATTCTGTGATGCCTGAGATACCCTGCCAAGCATTTTAGGATTATAGCTGAAATAGTAGAGAGTCCCATTGGCAAGCTTAATCATAGGGGACCTAGGAAGTATGCCTTCTCTCTTGTGCCCCTATCCTATGGAACAGCATCCCCACCTGTGATAGAGGAACCTCTTTCCCCGGAAATTTCAAAAAGCTCTTCAAATCTAGGCTTTGATCCTAGGCTTAGTGTTAATGTGTTGGTTGGTGCCATTGTGCTGAATTGGGCTGCATTTTAAAGATTGTTTTGGTCCGAGTTATTTTATGCTTTTAATTATTTTAATTTAGTACTATATTTTGTAAGCCACCCAAAGTTAACTTGAATGGGTATCTATAAAAGTAATCCATGATTTATGGCTGTTCTGCAGCATCCCATGGTCACGTAATCGCATTTTATCATATTTTGCTGAAAATTGGCATTTACTGTAGGCGTTTGGCAAAACTGGTCCATAGTAAAAAATTGGTTTGCTTAGTATCTATGGTGTTCACTTAATGACTGAAGCAGTCAATTTATTGACTTTGATGTCTGCAAAAAAGTTTGTAAAAATCAGGTCAATCACATGAGTGACCCATTCTATGACCATAATGGGAAGGCTCCATTACAGTTGTAGTTTGAAGACTACCTATATTAAATCTACTTTTATTATTACAGTTCATCTCAAAGTCAGCCAGATACTTAGATTTGATTTGGCCTTTTAGGTGTCCATCAAGTCCTTCCCAAGGACCTGAGATAGACAAATGTGTTTGGTGTTGTTGCTATTAGTGGAGATGGGTAACTGCCTCTAAGTGGATTTTCCTCTCTTAAAATGTTACTTGTGCTCATTCAAGAAACGGGTTTCCCTTCTCATTCAACAAATTATATTTTCCTTTTCATATGACAGGTTTCCGAGTTTGCCATAGTATTCAACAGTGTTTATAAAACTACTAGCAATTGGTTTTATAATTCTCTTCCGAAATCTCTGCTGGAAAAAGGACGAATTGTGTTTTCTTCGAAAAAGGAACTTGAGGTTTGTGTTTTGGAATTGCACTATATCTACATTTTATATAGAACATTGTGATTTACAGCTTTCTTTTTATTTTAACAGTAGTTCTAATTTTCTTTTCCTAGTCATTTTTATATCAGCAATCCTTACTGAAAAGATGCATAATTAAACATGCATTTAATGCATGAATTTTTGCAGTGTACATTGTGAAGTGATTCAGCATCTCTGTTGAACATCTAGCGGCTAGATTCTAGCCTATCAGAGAGGCATCTGTCACCCACCAGTTGCAATACTTTTCTCTGTTCTTTACAAGTCTGCAGAGTGTTACTTCAGAAAAATTAGAGGGCACAGAAAAGACGAGACCAAAGTTGAAAACTAATCTAATTTATCCTAGAAATTATGAACATTGTTTTCATAATTACTTCCCTGAAGTCATAATAGGATCTCAAATTGTAGTTTCCTTCAGGTTTGAAGATGGAATTTAACCTAACATTACATCTTTAGGTTTAGGTTTCCAATTGTTTCTCCTTTTATTATAGCTAACTGATGATTCATACCTTAAAAAGCATGTATTCTTTTCTAATAGATGATGAAGTATTCTAGCATTAAACTTACATGTTTCCATTTGAGCGAAATAAATACTCTCATTCCTACTTCTGCTTTAAACATTTTTTCATTTGTGGCTTTAAAATGTAAAATAATGTTTTCTTTGTAGGCATGGGATCACTTTTTGAAAATAAAGTTTCCTAATAGCAGTACTTCGGAATATTGGAAAGAATCTTTGATTTCAATTTTGAAAATGAGAATTAAACAGGTATGTAGATATATAGTGTTATATGAACGAGATATTAATTTGCTTTTACTAATTAATTGAGATGTAGATGGGCATAACCTATTTGAAGTGTATGGAAAGCTTTTATATAATAGTTTTGTGACATGTGTCTTCATTTATTGTCATTAAACCAAGTTAGTCTGATCACTATCATATCTGGCAAAACCGCTTGGAGTTTCTAGCATCAACAAAATACGGTTTGGGACAAGAATGAATCACTACAGTAATATAAACTTACCATTTGTTTTGAGCTGATGTGTGGTTGTACAGGTTGTTGCTCAATCTGTTCAGCAATAAATGGTTAAAGTATGTCTTGGCACAACTACACAATTCAAATCAGTAGTTGGCTTTGCTTCTACAATCCATCTTTCTTAACCTGGTTTCCTCCAG